CTAACACTCAGCTCAAGTGCCATCTGCTGCAGGGTCCTTTCCTGGTCCTCAGAAGCTAGTACCATCCTCTCTAAGGTTATCTCCCATCTAGTCTCTATTCACCTTGTACATACAGATCTACACATGGTGACTCCCATTGGGATGTAAGCTCCTTGATGACAGGGACTGTTTGCCTGTTCTTTGCATCATTTAGCACAGTGCCTGGCACATAGTCACTTGATGATTACCCAAATTGGTAAAATCTCAGCAACACAGTTACACCATCCCCTGTCTCTGGTAACACTCTTTAAAAAAAAAATAAAAGACTTGAGATTGTGACTTGCTCTGAAGCCAGGGTGCTTGTTGGGATCACTGCTTCCTCTTCCAGAGTTTCACCAGCCATCTTGCTAATGATCTGTTCTAGAATCTTCCCAGTAACTGAAGCCAAGCTTACTGGTTGAAACATTGCAAATTCCCTTCTCTTCCCTTTTTAAAAAATTGGAATCCTTCCTTTTTTAGCTCCGGGGTACTTCTCCTGTTTTCCATGATCTTTCAAGTATCACTGATGGGGCTCAGCAGCTACACTTCTTAGGTCCTTCCACACCTGAGGGTGTAGTTTGTCCAGGGCTGGTAAATTTGAATATTTTCCTCCTACCTGTACCACACACACACACCCCAGCTTCCATTTTCCACCTCTGAAAATTCCATCCATCGTTTCTATCCCCAAGAAGGCACCACTTTTTCCAGGAAGCCCTCCTTGAACCTTTAATTGACAGTGCTTTCTTCTTCCTCTGAGCTCCCACAGTTGTCTGGCCTCCTCCCATGACCCTGGTACCAAAGTTTATGGTATTATTGGTATGTCTCTATTTCATCTATCAGTCTTAGGGCAGGACCTTGGTCTACTCTGCTAGGTCTCCATGAGGGTAGGACATGTCTGTCTCTCCAATCCTAGCCTAGTCCCTGCACTTAACAGGTATATTATCAAATATTTGTTGAATGAATGTTTAGGCAGAAAGGGACTATGGGGATTGTGAGACCTCCCCCCAGTCAATTTAGGAAGTCTCCCTGGAAGAGGAAAAATTTGAAGAGCTGTTTGAATATATTCAGGGACAGAAGTATGGAGAAAGAAATAACAAACCACTCCAGTATCTTTGCCAAGAAAATCTCAAATGGGGTGACAAAGAGTCAGACATGACTGAAACAAATGAACAAGAGCTGAGAAGATCTAGTGCCTGGCCCTTCCCTTCCTCCGCAACAGTGATCATCCCCCAGCTCTACGGAGTCTGAGAGGGGATGGAGGTTAAAGACCATCCACTCATTTTGTCTCTTCCTCTGACCCCTTTATCCACATCCTGACACACCCAGAGCAGGCCCATTGGGAGCAATCAGTAGTTTGTCAAGAACAGGGAGGAGGAGGAAGAGACAGGCTGACATGGAGAGACAGAGGCAGAAACTGACACAGAAGGGGACAGAGACACACAGAACAAGAAATAGAGTCATAGGAAAAAGACAAAGAGATGGTGAGAAAGAGACCTTGAGAGATGGAGAGACAATGCAGAAGCACAGTAGGACAGAAAGACAGAATAGGAGAAAATGAGACAGAGGCACAGAGAGGGAGAAAGGTAGGTGTCCCCTCCTTTCCATCCCCACAACCCCTACCCAGCCTAGGACCCCTCTTTTTCTTACCTAAAGACTGGAGCTACCTTATGGCCTCCTCCCTCCATCTTTCCTGCACTTGGGGCCACAATCACCTTTCCACAGTCCAGATCTTTCTTCATCCTTCCCTTGCTTGAGAACCTACCACGGGTCCTCTAAAGTCCCCACGAGCTGGTCTAGATTGCCTCAGCATTGCATTCAAGTCTCCCTGTTGTCTGGTTCCACCCTCTCTTTCCAGACTCCCCATTCCCAAACACTATCTCCACTGATCAGCTAAACTGAAGATTTTCCACCCACCCAGTAGTCTCCTCATTCTCCCACCTCTAAGACACTTTATTTTGCCTTAAAATGTCTTTCTTCTCACCCCTCATCTCCAACTACTGGAGTTCTCCCATCCTTCAAGGCTCTCCTCACATGGCAGGGGGGATCCTCACCTACCCCTACCCCTTAGAAATGCTCTCTTTCCCATAAGCCCCCCTCAATCTTGTCTCCCAGTAGCCCTTTTAAACTATCAAATGTATAATCAAATCACTTTGTGGATGCCTAAGTGGACTGAGTGCTATCTGAGGACAGGGTCCTGGTCGGCTCCTATCACACCCTCCAAGATCTGGAGCTGAACCCGGATGGGCCCCACAAAAGGCTCAGGGTAAAAACTGGAGGCGAGCAAATAGGTACGGAGTGTACTATCCCACACTGCCACCTGGTGGACAGCTGTGCTCAATTCGGCTAGCTTTGCTTCCCTAAGGCTAAAGGGAGAGTCACCCAGGGGACTGGAGGCAGGGCCTGAATGGGGTCCCCCAGATTGAGTAAGAGTATCCACTATTGTTCTCTGCCTCCCTCAAGGGAGGGACAGAGCAAAATGCTTCTAGATTCAGCAGAAGGAATTCTGCAAAGAACTTCCGGTCCATCTGGTGTTTACTGGTCACTAGAAAGAAAGCTACCCACCTTCAATCAAATCAAGAAATGTCAGAGTTGGAAAGGACCCTTGGGGGCTTCTAGCTCAACCCTGGGAGGGAATAAAAGTCTCCCTTACTACATACCCAACAAAAAGTCAATCCAGATTTCATTTGGTGACCTCCAGTGAAGAAGACTCAGAAGCAGCCACTTTGGAGACCTCAAATCCTTCAGTTTTTCTTTAAATCTTCCTCTCTGCCACCTCCTGGTGGCATTATTCCTGGTTCCGCCCTGAGTGTAATCCCTCTTCCCCACGACAGCCTTTAAAAATACTAGACGGCTACAATGTTCCACTTCTCTCCTCCAGGCTAACCAATCCCAATTGGTCCTGGAATTAGGGATAGGGAAAAGCACTCCGTGTGTCCAGAAGGGGTCAATCATAGCCCCCAAGGAGTCTAGTCTAGTCTTAGGGCTCGACTGGCATAAATCAAGGAAATGGCCAGTTAAATTCTGCCAATGGGCTCTGGATCTCAACATCAATTGTTTCTGGTCAGCTGGGAACAGACACCCCAGGCTCTCAGCCTTTGCCCAGGATGTGCTAGGTAACACCCATCCAAGCTCATCACACACCACAGGATCCCACTCTTCAAGGTCATGAATCCTTGGGAGGTCAGGTAATCTCCCAAGAAGGGAGACCCAGAACATGGTGGAAAACAGAGCTGAATGGGGCAGGGAAGGTACAATCCTGAGCTGGATTCCTGGGTCCAGACTTGATTGGCTAGGAGCCCAGAAGTAGGCAAGGATCTGACTGCCCCACAGCAGTCAGAGAAGACTTCCTGGAGGAGAAAGGCCTTAGCAGGTACAGCCAACACGGCGATTTAAATTGAATTACCCATCATAGCCAGCTGAACGACAAGGCAGGTTGTACCTGATCATCTCCAAGGTTCTCTGTAAATGCTGAGTCAAGACTCCATGAGGTATCACGGGACCTGGGTTCACATGCCACCCGTCACTTACTACCTGTGTGCTCTTGGCAAAGCACTCAGCTTCCCTGGCCCTAACTTCTCCAACTTTTGAATGAAGATTAGACGGGCTCTGATGTCGCTTCCTGCCCGAGTTCTAAGACCTCAGTACTCCACTGCTTCTAGGTTCCAGGTTTTAATGATTTTAAGGACCTACGACCTTAAGGTTCTGAACCCTGTGGCTTAAGGACTGCAGGGCCCTAAAGTCACCACAGTGGATATAGGACTGGTCTTGGAGTTAGAAGACCCAGGTTCAAGGTCCACCTCCGACATAGACTAGATGTGTGACCCTGGGCAAGTCACTTAACTTCTCAATGCCCTAAGCAATCAATTCTCTTAGAGCTAAAGTTATTGACGAGGGACGAATCCAAATTAGGAGTGTGAATTTTCATACCGGAAGTCCCCCAGAGGAATGAAATAACAAGTCCAGACTAGAAATAAAAGAATGAATTAATCCATTAATAAGAGGCTCTCTAAGATTCTATAGTCTTGAGGTTCTGGGATACCAAGGTTCTTTGCCTCTCTCTTTTTTTTTTTTTTTTTTTGGCAATCGAGGTTAAGTGACTTGCCCAGGGTCCCACAGCTAGTACGTGTCAAATATTTGGTCTGAGGACAGATTTGAACTCAGGTCCTCCTGACTTCACTGCGCCACCTAGCTGCCCCTGTCTCTCTATTTCTAACATTTTCTGGTTGCAGAAGCTCTAAGATTCTCAGGTTTACTGAGGTCCTCTCGGAGCTGTAGGATAAACTACATGGGGGAGGAATGATGAAGCTCTGGGCCTCGGCAGGCAGGCATCTGACACCTCCCCAGGAAGTTTCAGGGGCTTCTCAGAAAGGCTTATTATCCCTGCCCGTCTCCTGGGAAACGCTGGACTGTATTGACTGAAGGAGTGTAAGGTCCCTGCCACTCCCTGGAGACTCACACTGTCCAGTGTTAGTACCGAGCTGGGGCTTGCTAAAGGGCTAGGCTCTGATCCCAGGCTTTGACATCTTGAGCATATCCCTTCCTCATCCTAAACCTCAGTTTCCCCTTCCAGAAAAACAGGGCTAAGTCTGTTGGCTTCAGTGTGGTGTCACTGATGTCCACAGCAATCCAATTTACAATTTGTCTCACTGTTCTCTGACCACTGAACCCCCTGGCATCCTCTAGACCAGGGGTGGGGAACCTGCGGCCTCGAAACCACACGTGGTCTTCTAGGTCCTCGGACGCAGCCTTTTGACTGAGTCCAAGTTGTACAGAACAAATCATTTTATTCAAGGGATGTGTTCTGTGAAGTTTGGATTCAGTCAAAGGGCCGCCCTTGCGGACCTGGAGGGCCACATATGGCCTCAAGGCCGCAGGTTCCCCTCCCCTGCTCTAGACTGTGTGTGAATCCCCTCCTCTTCCACGTACTCCACGGTCCCCAAAACACAAATCATATCATGCCATGCCAAATACAAGCATCCTAGTCACAGGCTAAAATATACAGATATATTTATATTATTTGTTTTTTAAAAAAGGTCCCGGATGAAGGGAGAAGAGTAGGTAGAGGGTAAAATGGGAAAAACAGGATAGTCTGCCCTCAGCCATTCCAACGCTCCACAGCTAACCCTGCCACCCAGACCCCTAGGAGTTGAGACTCGTCTTCTGTAACACACACAAAGTCCAGGACAGAGAGTCTTGATGGGATGAGCAGCTGTAACCGGACTTCCCCACGAGGCCTACACCTCTCTCTCGTGGAGACTGAGAATATCTGGACCCCTCTCATATCAGAGGAGCGAGGGGGCAGCACCTGGTCACGGTGGGCTTTGGGCCTGTCGAAAAGAAGAGCAAACGGGTCATGAGTGGGGAAGGAAGTGGCCCCGCTCCTTTCCAAAGCGGAGGGGCGAAAGGTTACTGCAGATAGGCTCGGAACATTCAGGAAGAGTCAGACAACACAGCCTATGAGGTCTTGGCCAGCTTTGAGAGTCTGGAATAATAGGAGACTGGAAGACTGGAGGGGTCAAGAAACTAGAAAATGAGGACAGGATAGGGGTGACTGGGTGTGACTCCCACCCACTTTGCAAAGGGAGTAGAGGGGATTCTGTAGAGGGAAAAGAGAGTGTACTTGTCACGTGACCTGGGTTCTAGCCTAAGCATTCACTCTGGGATCTTGGCCAAATCCTTTGGGCTTCAGCAAAATGAGAGATTGGGGAGGGGGTGGGGAGGCGGTTGTTAAGGGAGGCAGATAGACTAAGGGTTCTAAGCTTGCTTCTGGGGCGGCTGGGTGGCACAATGGATAGTGTGCTAGGCCTGCTGTCAGGAAGAATCTTCTTCAGACACTTCCTAGCTGCGTGACCCTGGGCAAGTCACTTAACCCTGTTTGCCTCAGCTTCCTCATCTGTAAAATGAGCTGGAGAAGGAAATGGCAAACTACTCCAGTATCTTCACCAAGGACACCCAAATGGGGGTCACAGAGTCAGACATGACTGAAAAGTGACTCAACAACAGGATTCCTTCTAGCTCTGACATTCTGCGTGTTCTAAAGTCCCTTCTAGCTTTGACAAATCTATATTCTAAGGTCCTTTCCAGCTCCACTTATCTGTGTTCTAAGGTCTCCTCCAGCTCTGACATTCTGTGTCCTAAGGTCTTTCCCAGCTCTTCATTCTATGTTCCAAGGCTGCTTCCAACACTAACAATCTATTTTTAACAATCTAAGGTTCCTTCCAGCATTTTCGGTCTATGTCCCTTCTAGTTCTGACAGTCTATGTTCTAAGGTCCTTCCCAACTCTGATAGTCTGTTCTAGACTAGGGGTTCTTACCTTAATCTCTTTGGCATCATGCACCTCTCTTTAGGCAGTCTGGAGAAGCCGAGGGGACCCCTTCTCAGAGTAATGTTTTTAAATGCATAAAATAAAATGCATAGGATTCCCAAGGAAACCAATTATAGTGAAATATAGTTATCAAAATAGATACCTATATCTCTATCTCTATATCTATCTATATGTATATATGTATGAGTGTGTATATATATACGTATATATGTATATGCATGTGTGTGTGTGTGTGTGTGTGTGTGTGTGTGTGTGTGTGTGTGTGTAAGTTCCTGGACCCCAGGTTAAGGACCCTGGGTTCCAAGGTGACTTTAAGCTCGACAACCAGTTTCTGGGATTCATGCTTTGATGGTCAACCTAAATGATTTTTTGTTTTGTCAATTGCTCTAAGAGCTTCACATCTTTTTAAATATGCTCATTCTACAGAGAGGGAAACTGAGGCTTAGAAAGAGAAAGGGTCAAAGAGCTAGTAAATGGCAAAGCTAATTTATTCTGGCTCCCAGTCCAGATTTCCATCATACCAGCAGCAATAGAGATTTAGAATCTATAGGTACCATATAGAGAACCATACGTAATCCAAATCTTTCATTCTGCAGAGGAGGAAGGCCCACAGAGTTTAAGTGACTTACCCAAGGTCACACAGCTAGTAACTGGCATTGCCAGGACTGGGAGTAGGAGTGGTCCCTGAAGATGACATAACTTTGGGGGAGGCACAGTTTAAAAGGATGAAGGACAAGAAAGGAAGCAGCTTAAGTAGTTAAGAGCGGAGAAACTTTAAGAGGATGAGGGAGGTAAGCATGACCTCATAAGATGCTAATTCTTCCTTTCTTATCCCTTAACTCTTTCAATATCCCTCCCAAAGCAAAACTGCTCCAATCCAGGTTTCCCATTCCCCTGCCTTTGTATCTATCCAGGGAACCCAAACATCCTAGAAGAAAAGGAAGGGGTAAAACAGTAGACACCTGGGGAACAGGCCATTTACACCACAGTGGAATCCCCTCCCCACCCTACCCTTTACCCTGGGCTTGGATCCCTCCAATTCACTCTCAGACATTCCAGAGGAGCTGAAGGGATAGACAGAGACCCTATTCTCACTGGTCTCCTGGGCACATGGTGGGGAATGGGGGTGAGAGGGGAAGGGACATGTAAGACCTGTGGGAATGGCTCCGTGGGCTCACGGTAGGGGTAGGGAGGGAAGACACTTGCAGGGTTTCGAAGGAGCACATTTCTTTCGGACCCAGCCCCTACTTCCCACCCGACTTCTTTTAAGCCTCTTGCCCAGCTTCTACTAGGCCGGATGCCTGATTTTGTTTCAGCTTGCTGCCTGATTCTTTTCAGGCCTTTAGCATGAAGAGGACCTTCACTGGTTTAAGATATTAGTGTGGGAAGATAAAGGAAACAGGTCAGAACAGGTGAGGATGCCATGCTCTCCAGTCTTCTGCCTCCAAGGCAGCTTCCCCTGGGAAAGGTAGGAAAGGGGTGAGGGGGAGGAGGGTTTTACTTACAGACAGGGGGTCAGAAGTGAAGGCAGCCACACTCTTCCTCATCTCATTCTCACTGCCTCTCAGGGGGATGAGTGACACACTGCCCAGCCTCGACTCAGGTATAGGCCGAACCACTCTTGAGGGCTCAGAAGGCCAGACGGTCCCACCATGCTGGGGCAGGCAAGCAAGCAGGCAGGAGAGCCAGAATAGGTCAGTGGGTGACATGACTCAACCATCAAACTCCTAAGACTCACTAACCTTGTTCCTTGGCCTTCCTTTCCTCCCTTCCCAGACCTTTCTGCCAACCCCACCCACTCCCAGGCCATTTCCCTTCCCCAACCTCTCCAAGTTTCTCCCCTCCTGGTTCCCCACCAGCCTTGGCCCTCCTGGCCCAATACCTGTACAAAGAAGAAGGTGGCAAACCATTCTCTGAGCTCCATCTGGGTATCACAGCAAAGGTACCTAAAGCAAGAGGGGTGTGAGTGGTACGTGAAACACATCTTACTGAAGCCTGGGAAATGGACAAGCTGGGCTCCCCATTCAGGACCTTAGAAATTTTCAAGTACAGCGTTCTTTCTTTACAGATAAGGAAACCAAGACCCATAAAGAAGAAAGGAATTGCCCAAAGTTACACAGGCAGTCCAGTAGAAGGGCCAGGATGTGAACTTGGGTTCTCTTATCCAAATCTTAGGTTCAAAGCTTCACAGCTTTAGAGCTGAAAGGGACCTTAGAAACCATCTAATCCAATCTCTTCATTTTACAAATGAGGAAACCGAGGCAGGCAGCAGTTCAGTGACTTGCCCACAAATACACAGCTAGTAAAAATTAGAGATTTGGTGAGATTTGAACTCAGGTTCTTGGGCTCTAGAGTTCATACTCCTTCCATTTTGCCAGACTGTTCTTCCTCCTACAACACATCTTCCTCCTTAAGGAGATGCCATCCTTTACCCACCTCCTAGGCTAGGGCTCTGATCAATATCTACTACGTGTGTTCCATCCCCATTACTCAGCCCCAGGGCCACATCTGCTACCTCAGACTGGAGCCCTGAACCCCCTACTCACCACTGCTGCCTCTCGTGTTTCTCCGTCTCGTGCACCACAGTGAGACCCCAACTACAGGGGGAGAGAAAACAGGTGAGGGATTCGGGCCGGGGGCAAGTCTCCCCCACCCCGCCTTCATCACTTAACAACAGGCAGCATCGTTGGGTTGCCATGGAGATCTTTGGGGAACCCGCAGGCAAGTAGATGGGGAATTGCATGCCTTCTCTTCCCTCCATCTGCCACATGTCAGGGGCTGGGAGCCAGGGGACCCATGAGCTAAAAGTCCAGAGCTCGGCCCTTCTTGCCAAGGGACACCCCCCACCCACTGGACCCTTACTCACCATGTTTCAAACTAAGCTCCTCCTCTCATTCCTGCTTCTGTGATTTTTGCCAAGGTATTCCCCTGCCCAGAATGGGTCCCTTAGTCTTCCCTGCATCCCTCCAAATCTCAACTTTTGAGATCTACCCCCTGTCTCACCATCCTCCTCCATTGTCACCAGCCAACATAGACCTCTCCTTTTCTCTCCTTCCTCTCTGACATCTCAAAGTACTCAAGAGCCTGACCTCAAAGACCAGGGGCTCCCTGAGGACTGGGCCCTGTCTCCTTCATGTACCAGGAGCCTCCAAATTACCATGTCTCTCTGGTGAGATCTGCCCTGGGGAATGCCAAGTCCTATCATTTCTACCTCCCTAGTATCTCTCCACTAACACTGGCCACCTTCCCTACTTCAGGTCCGCCTCACCTCATTCCTAGACGTGCTTAGCAGAGTGCCTGGTACATAGCAGGATCCTGTTAATGCTCACTGACTGACTGACCTGGACTATTGAAATAGCCTCCAAAATCGCTCTTACTGCCTCAAGTCTCTCTCCACTCTGATCTACCCTCTATTCAGCAGCAAAAGTGATTTCCCTTAAGTACAGGTCAGTCCACATCACCTCTTTGCCCCCAGACACTCAGTAAACTCCATCAGCTCCCTGTTCCCTCCGGGATAAAATACAAAGTCCTCCTTCTGGTAATGAAAGCTCTTCAGAACCTGGCCCCTTCCCATCAGTCTGGTTTTCTCATACTTTATTCCCCCCTCCACTCACTTTACCAACTAGACAAATGAGCCAACTTGCTGTTCTTCAGATGTGACCCTCCACCGTACATTTCCATGACTTTGCATTAGCTCAACTGTCATGCTGGTAACACTTCCTATCCCTCCTTCCTCACCCACACCTCTTAAATCCCCAGGCTCCTTTCAGGACAGCTCAAAATCCAGCTGCCGGCCAAAAGCAGTCCTTTCCCAGTTCCTCCAACTGCCTCCCCTCTGAGAGTATTTATTTCCATGCTGTCTCCCCAACGAGAATACGCTCCGTGAAGGCAGGCACTGTTTTTGCTTTCCTTTGTAGCCCTAGCGCAGGGGTAGGGAACCTGCGGCCTTGAGGCCACATGTGCTCTTCTAGCTCTTTGGGTGCTGCCTTTTGACTGAGTCCATGTTTTATAGAACAAATCCTTTTATTAAGGAGATATTTTCTGGGAAGTTTGGATTCAGTCAAAGGGCCACACTTGAGGACCTAGAGGGCCATATGTGGCCTCCAGGCTACAGGCTCCCCACCCCTATCCTAGTGCTTAGCACAGTGCCCCACACAAATGTTAAGTGTTTAATAAATGTTGGTTGGTCGACTGGTTGACTGATTGACATTTTCCTGGACTTACCAGGTAGGTGGTCGTAACTTCTTCTTCACCCCCAGGTAGACTTTGAGGCTCTTTATGGGCCATTCCTTTTCTGGCTTGTGACTCTAAGAGCAGGGAAGCCAGACAGGGATAGAAGAGGGAAGGGAGGATAAAAGACAGAGTGAGAGGGCTCCCTCAGGCTGGGTCTAGGAAGGTAAACAACACAGAGCATGTTCCCACTGGCCTCGAGGTGAAGCTCAGTCTCCTGTCACCCTAAGCAAGCTCCCATCTCCTTTTCTTGCTTCTCAAATCTGACCTGTACCTAAACCCAAACAGGGAATCCAAACTGAAAAAGTCTTTAGAACAGTCAGAGCTGGGCAGGGACCTTAGAATAGGGAATGTGAGAGATGGGAGGGACCAGAGAACATCAAAGCTGGAAGGGACCTTAGAACAGGAAATATCAAAGTTGGGAGGAACTTTAGAACAGGGAATGTCAGAGATGGGAGGGATCTTAGAACAGAGAACAGAGAACAGAGAATGTCAGATCTGGAAGATCACCTAGACACCACTAGAGACTAGCTCCCTTATTTGTCACACCAAGAGATAAACTAAGGGACAAAGAAAAGGGGAGTGTTATATTCGAAGTCAAACAGAAAGCTGGGAGAAACACCCAGGTCACCCCACTTGGTCCCTGCTATCCCTCTTATTACCTCACTATCTTTCCCAGCTCCTCTCTCACCATGACTCCCAATCCCAGTCCTACCCCTCTAACCTTCAAAACACTAGGCTACCTCCTCCATGAAACCTCCTCAAGGAAACTCTGCTCTCCATCCAACTGAACCCAGCTTCCCCAATCAATATGTGCTCTTGTCATCTGCATTCCCACAAATTCTTGAGTTCCCTCCTTCCCTCCCCTGTGCCCCCCTCCCCTAAGGTTTGGGGCTCCCCACACTTGGCACCATCAGACAGTCAACTCTCAAAGATCTGCAGCCTGTCATTCACAACTCAACCAGCCATGCTATTGGCTGAAACAGTATGGACAGCGCTTATCCGAAAGGAGGCGCTACCTACTCAAAGTGGCAACCGTGGCAATCAATCATCATGGTAGCTGATGTTCCTATAACATTTTATGGTTATTTCTAAAGTGTTACTTGATTTGATCTTCACAGTCACCCTGCGAGGTAGGCAGGATACGTATAACTTTCTCCTTTTACAGAGAGGGGAACTATGAGGCCCAGAAGGATGAAACAACTTTAAAAGCCATTAGATAGATGAACCCTAAACAGGATTTAGGTCTTCTAATTCCAAATCTGGGAACACTTCCCATTACCTGATGTTTCACTCCTCCCTTGCCCCACTTGATCATTGTGGAGAACAAATAATGATAATGATGATGCATTCGCAAAATACCTTAAGTGCAAAGCACTTTATAAACGTTATCTCATTTGATCCTCACAACAACCTTGTGAGGTAGGAGCTATTATGATTCCCATTTTACAAATGAGGAAACTGAGGCAAACAGAAGTTAAGTGACTTGCCCAGCATCACAAGGCTATTAAGCATCTGAGGCAGGGTGTGGACCCCAGTCATCCTGACTCCTGGTCCAATATTCTATCTACCACACATCTCAGCTGCCTGGAATTGAGGGATGACTGTGTGAGGGGAAAGGCCCAGCTCTAGGCCTATGAGCAGGGCCCCCAGCTCTTCGTCAGCTCTGCTGGGAACCCGTTAAAAAAAGAGGGGAGACATGTCAAAGCCGCGGCAAGCCAGGCAAGGTGAAGACTTCCTGATGGAGGGGGTTGGCGCTTCCAGGCTGACTGCTGGAGGGTGGGGGGATTGGGCCGCCTGCCTCGTGATCCAGAGTGGGAGGGGCTTCCCAAGCCTCCCCACCTCAGTCAGCACTCTCCCAAAGGCTGGCTGGCCCCCTCCCCTCAGGCCCCCTGTGGAATAGCAAGGGGCGATAAAACCACTTACAACCGGAAACTGGGGTCAGACGCCAGGTCTGCTCCTCCCCCCACCCAGCATGAGCCCTTGGGTATGGCTCCTCGGAAGAAAGGAAGAGAGGAAATAGGAAGAGAAAGAAAGGGAATAAGCATTTATATGGAGCCTGCTATGTGCCAAGCACTTTACATTTAATCCTCACTACAATCCTGTGAGGTGGGGGCTATTATAATCACTATTTTGCAGTTAAGGAAACTGAGGCAAGGAGGTCAAGTGACTTGCCCAGGGTCACACAGCTAATAGGTGTCTAAGGCTGGATGTGAACTCAGGTCTTCCTAACTCTAAGCTCAGCCAGTGCTCTAACCACTGTGGCACCTAGCTGTGAACAGAAAGTAATAATTGTCATTTCTCTGGCACTGGGCAGTTTACAGAGCACTTTCAATACAATAGCCCTATGAGAAGATGAGGGTATGGTTTATTAATCACTTTACAAAGGAGGAACACAAGGCTCAGAAGGTGGTGTGATTTACCCTGAGTGTTTAAACACCCACTGTAAAAAACTCTAAGCACATTCAGGTCGGCAAAGCCCTTCCTTGGCAGATACATAGTAAGTACACTTCCTAAACGCTTGTTGATTGCTAATGCTGCGAGGCAGGTTGTGCAAGATCACAGAGCCATGGAATCTCAGGTGGAAAGGGACCTAGAAGGACCAACCTGTCTAGACTAACCTGTATCTGAACAAGGCTGGCTTCTACACAAACACCTGGGCAGTGGTCCCGAGCAGTGACGAGGGAGCCTACTTACTGCCCCGAGGGGCAGCCTGTGACTCTTGCGAGCAGCAATAAATGTTAGGCAGTTTCAGCCTAAACTGGCTTCTTTGGAATTTCCACCTTGTATTGCTAGGGCCTCCCAGGGCCAAACAGAACACGTCTAAACTATTGTCCGTGGGATAGCATCCCAAGCACTGGAAGGGAGTGATCATGTCCCACCTGAGCCTTCTATTCTCCAGGATAAACTCCCCACTCCTTCAGCTCACCCTCAGAGGACATGGCCTCAAGGCTCCTCTCCATCTGATTGCCCTCTCCTCACGCTGTCTAGCACAATCATGTCCTTCTTCCATTGCAATGACCAGAATTGAATATAAGGGCAGATTCCTACCCCCAATTTTGCAGCTGAGGAAACAAGCTCTGACAGGGGCATTCAACTAAAACATACCTGGGACTGGGGGGGGGGCAGGGGAGGAGGTTGACAAGACAAGGGTTTCCAGGGATTACTGGGCTCCCTTTGTGACATCACCATGGTGAACAGGGAGAGCTCTATGCAGCAGGGGAGGGGGGAGCAGGACTTTCTTCACTGCCTTCTTCCACACTTTCTACCACAAAAGGAGATATATTCCACCATGTCATCCAGAGCTTCCCCCAGCCCTGAAAATGGGTTGGTCTCTAATGACACCTATGTGAGCTCAAGCAGCAAGCATGGAAGAAATTGGGCTGCAGGCCTGGAAAAAATTCAGGCCATGCATCCAGGCCAAGCTGGGCTGAGGGTACAGGCTGAAGCCAGACTTTGACCCTGGAAGAAGTCCGTCCACACACCATTGCAAACAAGCCGATCTGTAGACATGGAGGACACAGAGGAGAAGGTATGGAAGAGACTAAGTTCTGACTTAAGAATATATTGGACCACCAGCATGAAGGGGGCCAGGAGGCAGGGCTGTCAGAAACCAGCCTTCGGGCACGGAAGAAACTTCTTCTCAGTCCTGGAAGAAACCACATCTGATGAGGAGCCAAAAACCAACCGAGGGCGAGGAAGAACTCCGACTTCAGAAGGGAAGAAACCAGGCAGTATACAGTCAGACCTCCAACGGGTTATGACTGTATACCCTCCGCCTTCACACACCATCCCGTCCCTGGCCTGACCTGTCTTAAGGCACCCAATGCTCCCAGTCACACATAAGACAGAGGCGATCCTTTCTGCTAAGGGAAAACTAGGCCCATAAATGAACCACAATCCCATGCAAGGAGGCTGAAGTGTGTGTAAATCAGGATGTTCAAATGTCATGACTGTAAATGAGGAGTTAGAATGTCTGAACTGGGAGGGGGGAGAGGAGAGGGACAGAAAGAGAGAGAAGACATAAAGAGAAACAGAAATGGAGAGAGAAAGGAAGGGAGGGAGGGAGAGAGGGAGAGAGAGAGAGAGAGAAGACAGAAAGAGAAACAGAGAAGTGGAGAGAGGGAGGGAGAGAGAGAGAGAAG